TCTGCCCTGGCGGGACAGGCTCCCCACTGAGGTCAGGGCCTGCAGGGTCTCCTTCAGTTCCGCAGGGCCCGTAAGACGGAGCTGTCCCACCAGGCCTTCGGCTGAAGCAGCAGACATCCATATATGGCCTCCCTAAGGTTTCTGTCTCCCATCCAACAACAGCTGGCCATATCCATCTGCTGTGACCACCAATTTTAATGTCACTATTGTGTTTGAATATTTTAATTGCATTTATTGTATCACTATTATGTTGTTACCAGCCCTGAGCACCACTTGAGGGAAGGGCACCAGCAACGGGTTTAACTTACATGCAGAAAGGTATCGGCTGGATATTAGGAAAAACTTTTTCAGGGTCAGAGTGGTTCAAAGGTGGAATCAGCTGCCTAGGGAGGTGGTAAGCTCCCCTCCACTGACAGCTTTCAAGAAGAGGCTGGACGAATATTTGTTAAGAGATGCTTTAGGCTGGTCCTGCATTGGGCAGGGGGTTGGACTAGATGGTCTATATAGCCCCTTCTAACTCTATGATTCTATAAATATGATAAATAAATAAGTAGCATCTTAATAGAGCTCAACAGGAGGACATTTTGGAAGTGGGGCTTAGGCCCTCTGTCAAAACTATTTGCTTTACAGTGTTAACCACCCCAAATTCCAGTGTATATATGACAAGCACCCTTCCTGCATAGTGTGTATTAGGCCTGTCTAAACGGCCATGCTTCAAATTCAGCTGAGCACAGAAACCCAGTTACTTAAGGGGATCAGGCCGGCAGATTAACACACCCACGGCAAGCACCCACATCTCCTCATTGTTCCTTTATTACAAGGAGCATCGCCTCTCCAGCAAGCTTACATATCAGTTACTAATAGGATCAGTTCTGTCATCTGAGGTCACCTTTGGGCTCCAAGCACTAAAGGTTCATCTCGCACAGGAGTTTCTCTTAGAAACTGAAAAGAAAAGATGGCGGGAATAAGTCAGGGAGGGAATGACCAGTTGCAGCATCGTTATGTGGCTATTTCTGTCCATCACGGAGTTATCCACTTGCATAAGCAACTTAACAGGTGAGCCAGAATTTCACAGCACAGGAGATCCCAGACAGAGTTCTAATGAAGTTCTGTAAGCAAGCAGTTTACCTATTAATCTGCTCATGACAACAAACAGGGATCTGCCATTACCAGCCCATATTTTTTGTCCCCATAGAAAGAGGAGGGAAGGGATTCTGACAGTGCCATAACATCCACTTACCTGACTGCCCAAACCTACCACATACAAGTTACATACTCTGACAGAATCACGAGTGTGTATTTGGGTATATGATACCCAGCTTCCTGGAGGGTTCGTAGGACTTGACTGAAAATCAGGTGTAATGGTATGGTGTACTGGGATAATGGGTTGGATTAGGACAGAGACATGGGGTTCAAATTCCCACTTCTCCATCAAATTCACTGGGTGACCTTGAACCTGTCATTGTCCCAGTCTAGCCTACCTCACAGGGCAGTTGTGGTGATAAAATAGTGGAAAGAATTGTGTATGCTGCTCTAAGCTCCTTTTGGAGGAAAAGCAGGATGAAAATGCACTGGATAAGCTAGCATTACAAAAATACAAAAACTACTTTGAAAGTCCACCCCATTTGCCATGTAATATAGAATGAATACTATCTTACTACATTATAACAGTGTCTAGCACAGAATCGCTCAGCCATCTTTTCCCCTTTTCTTTTCTCCCACTATTTTCCAAAAAAAAAATAATTTTTTTTTTTAAAAATAAAGTTTCTTTATCCAGTGGTAAGGCTGAATAGTCATCTGTATTTTATCATATATGAAAGAGAGTTATAGTCTTTTAATAAATGACTACTCTCCCCTGCTTTCCCTCAATAATTTTCAGGTTTCACAAAACTGTTCTGTACCATAAAAAATAATATTTAACATTTTTATTAGCTCTCCCCCCCAAAAAAATTATAATGTAACAGCTCCCTCCTTTTAATGAGAAACCATAACCCAGTACCTCTGAAGTTCTTTACACAGAATACTTTACTTCTTTACACAGAGAGTGATTAAAATGTGGAATTCGCTGCCAGAGGATGTAGTGATGGCTACAGGAATAAACAGCTTTAAAAGAGGATTAGATAGATTCATGGAGGATAGGTCTATCAGTGGCTAGTAGCCATAGTGACTGAGGGGAACCTCCACATTCAGAAGCACTAAACCTCTGAGTCCCAGAGCCAGGAGGCCAGCCGCCAGATCAGGGGAAGGCCTTGGCCTTTCTGCCCTGTTGTTGACCCTCCAGAGGACCAGGTTGGCCACTGTGTGAGACAGGATGCTGCACTAGATGGACCCTCACTGGTCTGATCCAGCAGGGCTCTTCTTATGTTCTTATGCTATGTTCATCTCCAGAATGTGATTTAAATCATTTCATATGTGGAAGCGATCACTAACAACAGCTGGTGGAATCCGGCAAAAGAAATTTGTGAGGTGTTTGTGGAACTGCTGTCCCACAAACTGAGTTGCAACTGATTTTTGTTTGAAAAATGGTTGGCTCCTTACATCCTTCGGCTTACTCTTCTCACGTTTATCTAAAGTTTGCATCTCAGAGACTAGCCAGAGCATCTGCCAAAAGAAAAGACAGACCTCACCATGATACTGGTCTTTACTAGCTGCAGAAATATGCTACTGCGCTGCTATTGTGGATCTCTAGATGGGAGAGGCTAAACGTGTCAGGCATTGCGGATTCTGTGTGTTGTATGGCCAGACGTCCAATCCAAATGTGTTGCCGACCAGCCCCCAAGGTTTCAGGATGACTTTGAAATTAAAGTAGGCAAACAGGGGAAGAAGGGGTGTCTCATTTCTCTTGACATGCTCCTTACTAGACCAACATTAAACAGAAAAAAAGAATTGATGCTGGAGTCATCTCGGAAAGAGAAAAGATATGTATTTGCATTACAAACAGAAGCAGATTACAAATAGCGTTCCCTTGCTTGAATTCTGTTCTGACACACGGTTTTAGTAGGGAGACATTAACAACACCGGAAGCAGCTTGGGGCCATGCCCCCCTCATGCTCCACTGGGGTCTAGAAAAGTGCAGTCAGCTGAGGAGTGGCTAGTCCAGTCGGCTCACTGAACAGAAGCAGTAACCACTTTATATTGGCCTACTGTACATTCACTCAGTGAAGCTCCCCACCACCACTGCAACACACACACACACACGTGGCACACACTCTCTCTCTCACACAAAGCATTTTAAGACTATGGGCCGGTTCACATAAGGCAGCCCCCAAATTAACACCTCACTGGGGCCTCCACATATGACCTCACAAATTAAAGGGAGCATATGTACAGGCCCTTCCCATGTGGAGGCGGGAATTCTCACAAATCACACTTTCACATGAAGGCTGCCTTAGCATTAGCCCTCTCCCCTCTCAACAGGTGGGGCCACCGTAACAGTGCGTTAGACCAAAATAATTCTGAGATCTATATTTACATACAGATTCTAACTTCCCCACAGACTGGCTCCAGTATGGGCATATTTGTGACTGGTCAGAATTACAAAGCTTAGCTTTTAAATGAAAGCCGCAACTTGCCCAACTTGGAGCCCAACCTTGCTTATTAAGAAAACTTTTCTCACTCACCTACCTCAGTTAAAAGGTAACATCTTCCTGCCTTCAATGGGATTTCATACACAAGAAAGTTTTGCTTGGGAGATCTATTTTCAGTCAATTTTCTGCCATGGGTGATTAATAACACATTTCTGTTAACATTTTAAAAACAAACATTCCTGTATCTTTCCATCCAAAGCCCACCGTTCTTCTGCTGTTCTCCATTTTTAAAGGGGGTAGGACATCTCAAATCATGACCTAGCAATCCGTCTGTATGATAAAAGCACAAGCCCCTGCTAAATATGGCATCAAACGATGGAAAGGCAAAGGGCAGGTGACAGAAGTCACTAGATACATTAACACTGGCTGACATCCAGAGCACCATGTATACAAAAGGCTCCCACTGTCAGATATAGCAGATGGAGCTCCATAGGTACCTGGTGCTCATTCTGCTTCAGTGACCAGTCTGCATCCACGTTGCATCACACTGAGAGGATACAATCCAGGAAAAGATGCCACAGCACACTGAATTCAACAGAAAGTAAGTAGGATGCTGAGTGCTGACATCATCTCATTTCAAACTGACCAGATTTTTTTTTGGGGGGGGGGCTCTTTCATGAAAGTTCAGGAGGCATATCAATTTGTATCAGGTCAGGGAAGGCCATTCCGTTACACTAACCATTTGGAGACTTTTCCCCCCTGAACTGTATTAAAGTTTTACTAGGAACTTCAGTACTCCTTATAGATTTTTAGCCTTATTATTGCTTTATTTTTTAAATTATAAAGCATGGTATTTTACTGATCTGATTTTTTTAGTGCTTATTGCTTTACTGCTCTTTTAATGATAAAGCTTGGTATTTTACCGATCTATATTTTATTGTTAAATGTAAGCCCCCCCAAGAACTCTCCAGTGAACTATGCTGGTGGGTATGGATTGCAAACATCAACAAAACAAATATGGCTGCAATCCCAGGCACATTTTTTTTTTGAAGTATGTTCCACGGAAATCATGGGGGCTTACTTCCATGTACATAGACATAGAATCCGGCTGAAAGTCCCACTTACATTAAAGGGATGTGGTTTACTTAACTTCTACTTTGATTTAAATTTTCAGACATGGTCACATTTTAAAAACCTGGATCCATGTTTCGGAAGCAAGTATGCATTAGCAATGCCTTCATTTGAAGCCCACAAGCACTTATCCCAGTGAGCATACAGAGCTACTACTGCCTATTCCAGAGCACCATCAACATTTGCTTCATCTTCAAACATGAAAAATGCTGCTGCCATGTACAGACTAGGTTTCTGTTTGTTTACTTAGAGATCCAGCTGCTGCTTTCTCAGTCATTCAGCTGAAAAACTACAGGTCAGATCCAGACTAAATTTTCCACTGGGTTAATGGAACCTCCCAGCCTCCCCCCCCCCCATGGCAGCCCACCGATCTCCACAAAGTGCTGTTCCTGGGGGAGAAAGGACCCTGAGCAATGGCACAAAGGTCCTGCAGTGGGAAGGTGGATATTGCCAATGTAGTCTTGATCCATGCCCATGTTTTACCACCACCCCAATCCTTAGACCAGCACCGCCTATATATTTGTTGCAGGTGCTGTGAAGAGCAAGCCAATTCATCGACTCGGCTGGAGGTAGTTCACGTGCAAGAAGCACTATCCTCGTGAGCTCATTTGCTGAGTATGTCCCAGACGCCCACTCCTGTTCCCCGAGCATGTTATACACAAAGGTTCTCAACTGGGAACCCTATATGCACACACACACACACACACACACACACACACACACAACCCACACTTTCTCTCCAACACACCCACACCCAACAAGAAAACCTGGCCTCTCTGCTCTAGCCAGGCAGCTGCCATGGCCTATCCAGAAGGCTCCATCATCGCTGGCTTAAGTGGGAAACGATGTAGATGAGACCAACCAAGAGGAGGCCGCGAATCCCAAACATCAAGAGCAGGAACAGCAACAGGATGGACATCAAGGGCTGCACCACGTGATTGCCGAGGTTCCAAGTGGGGAAGCCCAGGTTTACCAACTGGTGGTTGAGGTCTGAGAATGGCGAGCGCTCCCCTGGCCTGGCCCCCTGCTGCTGAGACTGTTGCTGGAAGCGCTGGTGGGGGGTTGAGCCCGCATTAGTCATTGTGTTGAAAAACCCCTGAGGGAGAGGGAGGAAACAGACACAGAGAAAGGGAATGAAACCATAAACTTTCCATCAACGGGATTCATGGAAAAGGGGATCTGTAAAGGGGGCAGAATCAGAACCACAGCCAATCAGTTCATTCACAGATTCTGGGAGAGAAGAGCAACAAGGCACAACCAAAGGTTCTCTAACCAACACCATATATGAGCAATGTTCCCTCTAAGCTTAGTGTGGGCTAGCTCACAATTTTTTAGCCTCTGGCTCACACCTTTTTGTCTTAGCTCAGGAAGGATGGCTCCAGAGCAAACTAATTTATGCAGCAGCCAAATCGCTTGCTCCCAACTTTAATGCCAGCAGCTCACAAAACAGAATTTTTGCTCACAAGACTCCACAACTTAGAGGGAGTTTTGTTTATGAGTAATATTCTTTTTTTATTTAAAATATTTCTATCACACCCTCAAAGAGAGCTCAAAGTAGCTATCCAAAGGCCTTAATGCACAATAAAAACATAAACAAGAAAATATGAAAACATTAAGCTTTTTTTTTTAAAAAAAGCCAGAACTTCTGGGTATCAGTCAGATGAACTACAGCACCTAAACAATGTCTTTGGAATACCCACCTAATACAGAAGGGGTTTGCGAGACAATCAGTCAGTGACTTAATAGCACCAAACTATGGAGCCTTAAGACGCCCAGAGCCCTTTGTAACCTTTCCAGTATCATGTTAGCTTTCCAACTAGGATAAAGTTAAGAGCGACAGAAAGACAGGAGTGGGGAGATGTTTGACAACTTGCCCTTTTATTGCTCATAACTTTATGAAGTGAGCTCTGACTCACAAAAGCTTATGCCGGGCTAATTTGTTATCAGGCTCATGTTTAATGTAGCTCTGAAAAGGGTCCTGTTCTTTCCACCTAGTCCAGATAACTATTATTAAACTGCATAATTCAGCATCCACTCATGCCCTTTAGGTTCCTCGAGTAATAATCCTAAGCATCGCGGAAAATCTACATCTATCCTCACCAGACGGGATGAGTTTTGAGTGTTCTGTCTCACGCGAGGATCATCATCTTGTACAATATCTCCATTGGCCAAAATCCTCACCATCTTTAGAGCTTCACGGTATTTGCCTTCCCACACCTGCAACGCACAGGAGAAAGAGTTTAAAATTAGGTCAGCTACTCTTAAGGAGAAAGATGTCAAGACACAGCCGGGACATACTGATTCCATTCATACACACACACGGGCACACCCTTTAATTCAGCTCTAGGTGCTATGGAAAGAACACTACTGCTTCTTGCTCCATACCCATGAGGGCTAACATGGATCAGTTTGGTGTAGTGCCAGTTTGGTGTAGTGGTTAAGTGCGCGGACTCTAATCTGGGAGAACCGAGTTTAATTCCCCACTCCTCCACTCGCACCTGGCTGGATGACCTTGGGCAAGCCGTAGTTCTGATAAGAGTTGTTCTTGAAAAAGAGCAGTTTCTGCCAAGAGCTCTCTCAGCCCCACCTACCCCACAGGGTGTCTGTTGTGGGGAGGGGAGGGGAAAGGAGTTTGTAAGCCGCTCTGAGACACCTTTGGGTAGTGAAGGGCAGGGTATAAATCCAACCTCTTCTCTTCATCAGAATCCTCTGTCTACCTTCAGAGTTTATACAAATGTACAACGTTTATACAGCACAGTATTATACTCAATAATCCTGCCCACAAAAAACGGGAGCCAAGCAAGGCCTTGCTGTAGCCGGGAGATGAGAAGAGGCCTACTTACCAGCTTCTCTCTCGCTCTCTTTTTTAAGTCAAGGAAATCAGTACTCCGGGATTGTACATCCTTCAAAGAAAAGAAGGACATGCCAAGGTGCTGTTTTTAGAAAGGGGTCGCCATGCCAGTGATCATAATTTTTTAATTCTAAAGATCTAAATGGCAAAGGAACACATGAAGCTGCCACATACTGAGTCAGACCTTTTGGTCCACCAAGGTCAGTACTGTCTACTCAGACCGGCAGCAGCTCTCCAGGGTCTCAGGCAGAGGTCTTTCACATCACCTACTGCCTGGTCCCTTCAAACTGCAAAACGCCGGGGGTTGAACCTGGGACTGCCTGCATGCCAAGCAGATGCTCTCTCTCTCTCTCTCTCTCTCTCTCTCTGAGCCACAGCCCCTCCCCTAAGAGGAGGAAAACAATAAGCAAAATAAACTTACAGAAGGTTTACAAAATGGTCCTGGTGGGATGGTGTCATACATCTTCACTGATGACAGTGACATTCTAATGTGCAATATAATGTGCCAATGTTCTTGACTTACAACTGTTCTCCAGCCTACAGAGATCAGTCCCCCCAGGAGGAAGGGGCAGCTTTGGAGGATGGACTCTATAGCATCACATACCCACTGACCTTCCTCTCCAAACTCTCCCTCCCCGGCCGTGTCCCCCAAATCTCCAGGAAATTCCCCAGCCAGAGATGGCAGCCCTACTTTTATCAGTCCAGCTAGAACTAAATTTTAAAAAGGCAGAGACAGTTCTATCTACTAGGGCAGCTACCCATAATGGACTAGCCATATAGCCTAATAAAACCTAATAAAAATGAAAGCACAGCTGAATGAGCATTAAAACAGGAAACCAGGCACAAGGTACGTAGGTGTAAAACAAACCGAGACAAAATTTCCCCTTTATCCGGCTGGAGTCTGTTATCGTGGCAACTGACTGGGAAAGAGGCCTTGTGCTGATCACAGACAGCCCAGCGTTTGTTCAAAAGATTACAGGGTGGGGGCGAAACGCAAGCTCACTACTAGGGATTATTAGGAAAAGAATTAAACACAAAACTGTTGTAATGTGGTAGTACATTTACTTATTACACACCTGGAATACTGTGTACAGTTCTGGTTGCCCCATCTTAAATAGTACATTGTAGAGCTGGCCGGGAAAGGCACACTAAAAGGCAATCAAAATGTTCAGAGGCCAGTTTGGTGTAGTGGTTAAGTGCGTGGACTCTAATCCGGGAGAACCAGGTTTGATTCCCCACTCCTCCACTTGCACCTGGCTGGATGACCTTGGGCAAGCCATAGTTCTGATAAGAGCTGTCCTTGAAAAAGAGCAGTTTCTGTCAGAGTTCTCTCAGCCCCACCTACCTCACAGGGTGTCTGTTGTGGGGAGGGGGAGGGAAAGGAGTTTGTAGGCCGCTCTGAGACACCTTTGGGTAGTGAAGGGCAGGGTATAAATCCAATCTCCTCTTCTTCTTCTTCTTAAGGCCTATGAGGAAAGGGTGTGGAATTTGGGGCTTTAAGAGGGGGGGAAAGATACGAAAGGGCGCATGATAGAGGTGAAGAAAATTATGCCAGGGAGGAGAAAAAAACAGGGGTCCCAAAGAAGTTGATGGGCAATAGATTCTAGATGGGCAAAGGAAATAGTTCTGTACCCAACCATAAACTTGCTTGTGGATTCACTGTCATGGGATGTAGTGGTACAATTGCAGTCCTAAGCCAAATTGACTCTACTGGTCAGACTGGTATAGCTTTCCTGAGGGTTGCACTCACAGTCACTAACTTTTACAAGGCATCTGACAAATAGCAGTGCTGGGGGGTCCACTCGATGAGGAAGGCCTTGCCCTCTGTTGCCCTGCTCCTTTTCAACAAAAACGCTTACTTTAGAAAAATGTATATGTCACTGCAGGACAAGATGCACTGCATCCTGAATGAGGGTGAAAGGAGAGAATGTCTAAGGATGGTGCCTATCAAATGCAAGGGGGGGGGGGGTGTTAAATTAAAAAATAATTACCTACAACCAAAGAGGCTTCTGAAGTCTTTTAAATCAGGGGGAATGCGTTTGCAGTGAACTAAAAAGTTTTTAACCGATTCTCTTAACCAATTAAACCATTGAAGATTCCGGCTGCAGCCTCTCTACAGGCCGAACGCGGAGGGAAACCGACTTAGCTTCCTTGGGAAACAAACGGGATCACCTGATCTCTCCCGGCCGCGGGAAAGAGCAACTCACCGGCTGCCGAGCCGGGTCTAGGCCCTTGCAGCCGCTCCAGGCCAGGAGCCGACCCACCGCTTTCTCCCTCCCCGTTTAAGCACGAGGAAATATACCCCCCCCCTTTTAAAAAGAAAATGTACCCACAGAAGAGGTGCGTCAAACTGGTTATCACGGATTGCCCGCTGCACTTAAAATGGGGGAGGGGGGCCCTGAAGACCCAGACACGTTTATACCGCAGGGGACTGAAAACATCCACCACCCACCCCACTCAACAATTCAGACAGGTGGGCACGGAATCCAAGTTTTAAGTGCGGGGGACGGTGGTCCCAGTAAGCGCAAAGCCCTCTGCCTGCGCTCCAAGATTAACTCTCAGTCCGGTTCCGCTTGCTCCAGGGTCTACACGGAAACAGAGCCCTTCCCAGGCCGGGACCAGCCAGTCCCTCCGCCGCCGCTTGCAACAGCGACCGACCGACGCTTCGGCTCCGATCAAGAGCAAGAGCCCAAGCCCACCAGCCTCTCCACCGCACTTCTAGCCCACTTGCCTCGGGTGGCCAGCGCCGGAGCAGACCTGGGGGCTGGAGAACGCGGCAAGACAGAACGGGCGCCAGCCGTCCCCGACGCGCCTCCTCCCTCGCTCCTTCCCGGTCGCTGCTCTGCTCTAGCTGACGTGCTCCTTTCCCTGCGAAAGCTCAGCCGTTTCCTCCAGGCTGACACCAGCGGAAGTGGCGTAAGGTGGGAGAGAAAGAGCGGCCGAAAACAAGGCGGTGGGTTCTCCCGCGGGAGGCTTCACAATTCGGGCGAATCCCTCTGCAGGCCCTGCGGGAAACTGCAGGCTGCCGAAAAGTCTTCTGCGTTTTTGCCTCAGGACTGGGAGGCTGAAGGGAAGAGGGGATCTTCTCACGGAACCCCCAGCAGGCAGCCGTCTGCGGTATGGCCTTGCGGTGTGGCCTTGCTTCTGCATGCACCACCAGGCCATGATGGGTCACTCATTGGGGCCCCGGAGCGCTGTGTCCTTGACGAAGTACATCATAATTGCAGGCCTGCACCCGACAATTTAGCCAAAGGAAGAGGAGCATAATAGGGCTCCAGTAGTCTGCTCCCATCTCCTGTTCATTGCCTTTTCCCAGATCTACGTGCACCTAAATAATGAGGCCACTGATGTACCTTAGCATCAACCATGCCCAAGAGGTCTGCTTAAGTGGCTGTTTGAGTTGAGGGGCCGGCACTGCTTCTTAATATGAGAGGCACCAGCATTTGGATCAAACGGGAAGTCATATCACTTGACATAAAATCCTTCTATTTTTCATCCCAGATGGCTGGCTTCCTAGACCTTAAACTAGTGATCCCCAGTGTAATGCCTGATAATTATTTCCTGGTGCCTACTTCCCTCTTCCCTGAAGCATCTCTTCCCCAAAGCAAACAAGCAGTCCTGGATTTCCCCCATCTCAATGAAACAGGAGGTGCTTCTGGAATCACCTTGATGACTGTCGCTGTCGGGAAACAGCTAGATGTATGAAAAGTACGCAAACGGAGAGCAAAGCGTACTTTATTCTATCCGGAACAAGACAACTTTGGCCGGCTCGCTGGCTGGCTTATATCCCCTGAGAAACTGCCACCCAAAACACACCCCTACTTCCCTATAGGTTATTTACAGTGACCAAGAGTCCCATAGGCTCTCGGCCGGGAACCTAGCCCCCTGATTGGAGTGGGCTAGGATCCGCATAGTCCATTGTCTCTTGGAGCGAAGCTCAACGTTTGTCTCTGGACTTGTCTGGACTGGCTACATTACAATGTATCATAAGAGGACATTTTTCTTCAAAGTTCCCAACACACTGTGATTGGTTCTATGGCAGCCATTTTGCAGTGACACCCACTGCTTGCTTTCAAAATCCTAAAGTTCCCACAGGCTCAACAAAATGGGGACCACTAGCTTCCACAGTAGTCAGGGAAATAGTCAGCTAGGGTGGCTACCTTGTTAACAAGTAGAGGACTTGTTGCATTATGGGTAGATACTAGCTGACACCATTTTGACATATATTGGTGGCAGCAGCAATTGGCAATGGAAATGTCACGTGTTGTTTTTTTAAAGTAGAGAAAAACTGCTGCCCCTAAAAAGTAAGGGTGATTCATTATCCACAAAGCAGATGTTAAAAAAATGAACTTCCTTTATTTGCAGTGCCCATGTGCTGTTGAGCATTCATGTGATTGCCTCAACTATTTGCTTGCACTTCAAAATGTTGGTCTGGAGTTGGTACTGCCAGGGAACCATGGAAAAGTAGCAGAGTGCTCAAAGGCTTTAACGCAGCAGAACTGGGTTTAGGTGTGGCAACAGACTTACAAAGTTAAACAGAGTCAGCAGTCAGTTCTAAAGCTAATAAGCAACTTTTATTAAAGGAAATACATGCTTGAGGTAAGAGATAGATATAGATATTCTAACTAACTAGATGGTGTTAGATGCTGGACGCATGTCCAGCCTCCATAGTGCAAGATGGAGAGATCAAACACCTTCTTTCTGTGTGTGCGAGAGAGAAGAGAGAGGAAGCAGAGGAAATTGCCCCTAAGAGTAGCAATTCTACTTCAAAGGAAAGGATCAGATAGCAGGAAGGGAAGGATGCTCTATGTCCTGACCTCTCCATCTGTCTAAACTCTTTGGTGCCATCTTCTCAAGTTTGAGGCAGGAGATAGCGCAAAGTCCTCCACTTCTAGCTCAAAAGAAGAAAGTGTCTGTGCACTGGTGGCACGGTGAGTGCCCAAGAAGCTTCTGCTGACACATCCTCATAATTTGCTTGGATGAGAGAGGCCCCAAGGTATCATGAGGAGTATCCATTGTTTGCAATCAGCTATACTACTGTGAGTGTGTGTGTGTGTGTGTGCACACGCAGGCTACTTTTCCTTCTGCACCGCTGGTGGCATTCCTCATGTTGGTGCATACTGAGAACATGCAGGATTGAATAACACTCTATTGGTACTTAGGCAGACAAAATGAACAGTGGTGGAGTACTCGAGAAGTAAGCCATGACGCTTCCCCATCCATGATGAACAACAGGACTGAAAAAGAGAGCCAAGGAAAAGGACCTTTATTTTCAGTTAATTTCTTTTTCTGTTGAGGCTGCTGGACAAGTGGAAGGGAAAGGGGTGGCCGTAGCAAAATAATCCAAGAACGCATATGCAAGAGCATTTGCGATTTGGACTTGAATGTTCCCATGAGCTAAGAGAGATTGCTTCCACAGCAAAGTTTCCCTCAGGTTTGGCATCCAAACTGGAATGTATTTGGGGGGAGTAATCACATTATGTCTTCTGCCAATGATCCACTTCTGTGATTTTCCCCTGTTTTGATGCAGTCTACTGGAAACCTGGAAAGATTACAGGCAAAGTGCCTTTGCACACCATGTGGATGACAAAGTGTACATTTTTGTTTTTGTTTTTTAATAAAGGCTTTATTTACTCTCCTAAAAAGGAGAGGTATTTCGCTTAAATAGAAAAATAGGGAGGGTATATAGTGGGAGAAAGAGAAAGCTGAGTGATATATTAACTTGTAAATTAATCTGTTAGTAATGTCCAAATTATCTTCTTAGGCTTCTTCTGTGTGCAGTCAAACTTCTTTCTTCAAACCAGTTAAAGGTGTTATCTATGTTAGTATATTAGTAGTGTTCATTCGATGCTCTGTTAGTTAAAGTTTCCTCGAGGCGCATTCAGAACCGCTCCTTCGCGTGCTGGCTTCTTTTAAATTCCCATTTTCATGGAGGAGCTTCTTCTATTTCCCTCTCTCCGGCTTTTCCAGTCCTCCTCTGGGTTGCTGTTAACGCTTCCATTTCATATGCTGTAAATCTTGACTCTTTCATGCTCTTTCATGCCCATTCAAAAGATCTCTAGCTCTGAGAATTGATTTTCTTTTTTTTTTAATTCCAGTTTCACTTTTAAACGCTGCCATTCTCTTCGCTGGATCTTCCTCCGCAACTATTGACTTTTAAAAGCGCTTATAAGCCCAGACCGGAAGTTCCTCCCTTCTTCTCCGCTTGTCTTTTAGCCCAGCGCCGACATCTTATTATTTTTGTTTACTTTTAATAAAGTTCTTAAAACGCACTCCAAAGAAACAGAAATTTTCTCGCTTTATTCCAAATGCATCAAAACAAGTCACTACTACTCGCACAGTCCATTCCCCCCCCCTTTATTCTCTCGCTAATGAAGTTAGAGGGTTTACCTCCTCATCTTTTCCGCTGGGGAGGGGGAGCGCTCTTAATTCTTTTTCTTCGCATTTGACAACTCACAGTTTAGCCGATCTTTTCTTTTTTCATTTCATCAGTTGTTCGCTTTATCACTCGGTGACGTCTGGTGGCTCCGCTAAACCCCGTGCGGGGTTGCTCACGCAGCAAGGTCCATAGGGGCAGGGCATGGCGAGAGCCTCAATTTCCGACCGCTTGGCCGAGAAAGAGGCTCCCCCCTAGTGCGCCCTAACGCGCCCCGGATCCGAGCTCCTCTTCTGAGGGGCTCGTTTGGGTCTCCGCTTGCGCGGATTCCCTCCTCCACTGCGGGCGGGCGAGACACCCTCGGGAGCGACCCGAGGATGCGTCCGCCATTCGCGGGAGCCAGACCGGAAGCTCACAAAGTGTACATTTTTGAAGCGCCTGTCCACATTGCCACCCCTAACCTTGCCACGCCCCCTTTCATGGTTGCCATGTTGTGTCCCCCCCCCCACAACTGCAGGCCTTTCTAGAGGAAAAGGATAAAATGGGCATGACTAGAATAGAATGACAAGCAAGGTAGTTTTCTTCCTCGTCCTAGGGGATTGACAGAGGACCGCTAAACAGGGGAAACATGGTAAGAACATGCATCCATGAAGCTTTTTCTGATCCAGTTCCAACCAATTTCAAATGTTCCAAAGATTTTTTTTTAGTGTTTTAGAATCCTGATCACAATTTGTGATCAAATTGTGTTCAAAAAGTGATGAAACCTCTGGGGGAGGTGGTGAGCTCCCCCTCACTGGCAGTCTTCAAGCAGTGGCTGGACAAACACATGTCAGGGATGCTTTAGGCTGATCCTGCACTGAGCAGAGGGTTGGGACTAGATGGCCTGCATGGCCCCTTCCAACTCTGTGATTCTATGATCCTGGCTAAAAAGATGGCAAACTGAAAAGCACTGCACGTGCTCAAGGACGTTACTTTGTATATTCCTGAGCTGAGATTGCCTTTATGAACACCCACTAGCCATACAGCTGGGGTTGCCAGGTCCCTCCAGGCAATTGGCGGGGGATGGGGGGATGTCCAGGAGACAGAGAAAGTCCCGGGCCATGTTGCTGGCATCACACAGGAAGTGACATCATCATGCCAGCGACTTCTGGGTGACACTGTGGTATTTGGGCCAAAACTCTATGGTAAAACTGGCTTCTACCACTGAGTTTTTGCCCAAATACCAGAGTGTCTCCTGGAAGTCACTGGCATGATGATGTCACTTCCTGTGTGACACCAGCTATGTGGCCTGGGCCTACCTCTTTCTACTGGTAAGTCCCCACTCTAGGGTTGCCAGGTCCCTTCGAGATGCCAGCGGGCGGTGGGGGGACACTCCAGGAGCTGGAAGCATCACGCTCAATGTACTGACATCACTGAAAGTGACATTACACGCCGTGCCTACATCACCCATAAGTGATGTGGGCATGTCAGGGGCAACGCTCTGGTTTTTTGGCAAAACTCTATGGTATAATCACCCTCA